AACTCAGCCAATCCACATAATCAAGCAAAAACTTTGAAAAACGAAGAGAATTATGCTGGCATGAGAGCTTTGAAAATCAAAACTTCAAAAAAAGAGATAAAGCGAGGCAAAAGAATATCAAAAAGCAATCTTTCTAATCTCATGTAAACTCATGACCAGACTGTAAATAAAGTTGAAATAACGAGATAGTTATTCGCGACTACCCACACCCCGATATTACGGACACCCGGTCATTAGGGGGTGACCATTTGACTTTGAGGGGGAGTGGATGGTTAATTTGGTCGGTGCAGAGGCCCGGCCATCTCCCAAAAATTTACTGCTTGAACTAGATTAACTAAACTTCACGGTATTAAAACAACAGTTTTTTTTGCTTACGACAACGTTTTACAAGCGTTATACAAGATCCCAGGGAAACAAATATACACAGGGATCCTAACACCTAGTCCCTCACGGACACTCTGATAGTATTATGACAACCTGCGGTTATTACGCTTATATATCAGGGAAAGCTATGATGGTCACCTAAAAAAAATATAACAAACGTAAAAGCGCTTAGTGTAAGAAAACGATGAAATTTTAATATATACAAATGGAAATTAAAGGATTAAACATTAAATACAGAAAAAAACAGTGATTACGTGATTCATTTTTTTCTACGTTTTTGGGGTTCGCAGTAAACGTGAATCTTAATGGCGTTCTAAATCATAATAGTGATCTTCCAACTCAAGTAAATTATTATTGTTTTTGTTAACAATATGATCTATAGTATTACTACATTCTTATTGTTGTCCCCTAACCACTGAGCTATTCGTGATATAGTCCATATTCTGACTAGAGAAGAAGTGCGCAACGAATAAACTTCCTTTTCCCTTTTTGTTTTGTTTTTTATCAGTTTTGACCCAACATAATAACTTTAGAAATCTCGGTCTTATGGACTACTAGGCAAGTAGCGTCGAATCGCGCAATAATTTATCTCAAAAATCAGAGTTGTAATTGTGTAACCACAATGGTGTAACCAACAGCGATAGCGCTGAGCACTTCTAATCCAGGACCACCCATGAATCAAAGCGGAACCTATAACTTGTAAAAACTTGATAAATGGTATAAGCACCAAACATTCATGACAACAGATCAACTAACAGTCATTTGATTTTGGTTTCACGAGTGATTCAAAGTGATTTGGTCTTGTTGAATACCAACCTTGAATCGAAAAAGGCAACGAAAAAACGCGACTGCAAAATGAAGATCCTGGTGTTGATGATAGCTTTGAGCTGCTTGTTCTCTTTGGCCTTTCCGTCAAAAGGTATTGAAGGTATTTGTTCACAATTTCTTCTGCTCATTCTTACGTCTGTTATACAAAGATATACTAAATTTAACTGCCGAGAAAACTATCGTTTAACTTCGAATTCTGATGTGATCTGTCTCTTATGAGAAGTTTGTAAAAAAAGAGTTTAAAAAAGAGAAAAACTGAAGCAAAACTCATCTCAACTTTTCGTTTCAATATTTTTCCTGTTCAAGTCTGACGTTGGAAGTTTAATCACGGTTTTCTCCCTCTGAAAACAGGGCATGAAATAGCAAAAACGATAACACTAAACTTTAACAGCAATAATATTGTGCGGCAAGTTGTATTAGCATTTCTCGGGCTTCACTATAGTGTCGCTAGCAAATAGACGAAGACTTCCTCACGAAGAACCAACGTCCGACATTAAATCGAAAAGATTTTCTCCGTCTTAGTGTATTGTGTATAACTCATCATTAGTTATCCCGACTAAGAACAGCGTTTTGAGAAATATRAAATTGTTTAACTTAAAGTTAATTGCTACAGTCAATTCTGGGCTCACAGACACCAGGAGAGGTGACTATANTATGAGTATGTGTGTTACCGCACAGTTACCGGACCTGGCCTTCACAATTTTGGTGAACGAATGGGGCACTAGAATTTGGTTACAGTACGATTACGGTCACAGTACAGTACCGTCCGTTTCCCACTCATACGAAATCCGCTCTAGTCTATTTCCTATTTCCCGGCCATTCTAAAGTGTGATCATCGGTGATCGTTATCGTTGTATGCTGCGCGTAACTAATATGAGCCGGCCGAGCATAACCAAATGAATATGTTTTATTTTGTGTTTTAAGACGTCCTTGAACGATCCATATGCAAGCGACTGAAAGAAAAAGGGATGTGCAAGAGCCGTTTTAACTGCATCAAAGACAAGCTATGCAAAGTCTCATGTGGTAAGAATATATCATCATTAATRTTTCTATATTTATCATATAATTATCTATGAAATACCTCTATTTCTCAATTTCGTAAAATTGATATTTTCACTAGTGAAAATGACATGTTATTCTTAACATTTTAACATTGTTATTTTATTTTACTGGTGAAAATAACACATTCGAAGTTTCTCTATATAGTGGAATTATGAAAAAAAGTATTTTACGACATAATTTGCCTTCCTATGTAATTATATGACAAAAGAATATTACATGGTCGTTTGGAGATACAAATTTTAATTATCTTCTCGTGTTGAAAATCTCTCAATCGTTCGCCACGCTCACTCGTGAGAGATCTTTTCAACACTTGAAGATAAAATCCGTATCTCTGCGATCCCATGTAATATCCTCTATTTATTGGAATTATATCAAAGGATATTAAATGGACGCGCGGAGATACGGATTTTATCTTCGAGTGCACGTTGAAAAGATCTCTCACGAGTGAGTAATTACATATGGAAGCAAAATTATGTTTTTGTACTTCAATATATAGAGAAACCACTAACGGTTTTTTTTTTCACTAGTGGAAATAATAGCAACTTTTCTAAAGAGAGAAACTTTACGAGTATTTCGTAAATAATTACATGATAAAAATAAATTATAGAGGCACGGGCTGCGATTTTTCTGATGCTCAGTTTTTTGAAAGGCCAGAATGGTTTTGTTTATTTGAACCAGACCGCTTCCTATTAGGAAGATAACAAAATATTTCAATTCCTAAAACTGTCTGGTGTAGCCTGCTAACAGGCGTTCCAGCAGGAACGCCTGTTAGCAGGCTGTGTCTGGTGTTGATGTAAAAGTTGGATTTCTCCACTAATCCTTCTTTTYAACCTTCCTACCTCGCTCTAATTAGTTACTTTGTGTATATTTATAGGGTGTAACGACATTCTCTCTGTGAAATCGTGTAAAGCACTAAAAGGAAGAAATGACTGCTCCTATCACTTTGCAGTGGGGTTCCAATATTGCAAATGGACATGTGGATTTTGTTGTGAGTAAAACTGACTGTTCTTTGGCATCTTCTGAATAAGGTTCATCACTATATTTATTGATGGTACAGGTCAGAGAGAGAGAGAAAAAAAAACAATAACAATAAAATAACCTAAACAATA